CAATCTTATACCAAAAAGTCAGTCATATTCATATCTTCTCCCTCCCTCCTTCCCTCTTATCCTCTTTCTCATTCTCTCCCCACTCCCATCCTCCCCCTTCCAGTAAAAAACAGAGTCTTCAATACCTTATTACTATGTAGCAACTTTACATGGTGCTGTGGCCTTGGAACTGGTATCTCCATTTCCATACTTCTAGATTCCGTGTTTTCATCTTTATTAATTACTCTTATTTACAGGACATCTCTCAGTAGCTTCTCAATTTTCCTTTCTGGTAGGATGCCTCAACATGATCTTTTAACTCCTATAGACTTTATTTCTGCTATCAAATTTTTACTTTGCAATATCTCTTTTTTATTCTCCCAGAGTTCTATTCTTAGATAGCCTTCTGTTCTTATTTTATGTAATCAGTATCTTCTCATTTCCTTGAAGACATTAATATAATAGTTTTCAAAAAATTATTCTGCTTCCTACGTTAACTATTTTTCGTAAGTTTATTTTATCTATTGGTTTCTTTTTGTCTCTTTCATGCTACATGCTCGCTATATCTTAGAATGAGAAATAAAAATGCTGATTTGCAACTCTGTGTGCCTAGGTGGGGTTTATTTATTTCTATTAGAATGATGTTGACTGGTTTCTCATCTTTGGCACTATTGACATTTTGGATCAAATCGTTATTTGGGGGGGTAGGTACAAGGAAGGATGTATTACAGTGGACTGTTAGATAGTATCCTTAGCACCTGTGGCCCCTACTCACTAGATGCTAGAAGCACACCTCCTCCCCACTTCACCCAGTTGTTTACAACAGGAAATTTCTCCAGACATTGCCAAATGTCCTCTGGGAGCAAAATCATCCCTAGTTAATAACCACTGTATTATAGTAATGAGAGTTTTGAGAGTTTCTTGAGATAAACTCTCCCGTTTTCTGCTTTCTGAGTGAGAAGTATAAACCTGGTTACTAGCACTCAAAAGCCTAGCAAAGGAATGGACCTCAGTATCTTACCACTCAATATAGAGACCTTGACTTAATCTCTGCCATAGGCAGAATAATGATCTCTCAAAGACATCCACATCCTAATCCCAGGAACCTGTGAATATTTTATGTTACATAGCAGAAGAAAATTAAAGTTGCAGATGAAATTAAAGTTGATAATCAGCTGACCTTAAAATGGGGAGATTACCCTGGATTATATAGTTGAATTTAAAGGTAGAAGAGGAAGGGAGCAGAGTCAGTGTCAGAATGATGCAACATGAGTAACTAGCCATTTGCTGGCTTTAAAGAGGAAGGGGGCCAGAAGCCAAGATATGCAAGTAGCCTCTTGAAGCTAGAAAAGACAAGAAAACAGGTTCTTCCCTATAGCCTGCAAAATGGAGACTGACATTAGTCCATTGAGATCTATTTTGGACTTCCCACCTCCAGAACCATAAGATAATAAATCTGTGTACTTTTAAACCACTAACTTTGTGGTAATTTGTTATAGCAACCACAGGAAACTAATACAATCTAACTGTTTACCACTCACCCACACCTCTGCTTGATATCCTTGAGATCAGAACCAGCCTGGGATAATCTCTTCGGCATGAATCAATAACTCCTACCCTGATCTTCTCTCAAGGTTGAAGAAGGGGCTGTCTCCAGGCATTTAGATTGGGGGAGGGATCTAGGGAGCAAACTGCTCCTTAAGAAGATTTTAAAGTGGTTTGTTGTTGTTGCTGTTTTTGTTGTTTTATTTTTTTAAATTTTTTTTAACGTTTATTTATTTTTGAGACAGAGAGAGACAGAGCACGAGCTGGGGAGGGGCAGAAAGAGAGGGAGACACAGAATCTGAAACAGGATCCAGGCTCTGAGCTGTCAGCACAGAGACTGATGCAGGGCTCAAACCCACTGATGGCAAGATCATGACCTGAGCCGAAGTTGGACGCTTAACCAACTGAGCCATCTAGGTGCCCCTGTTTTTGTCGTTTTAGAGAAAGAGCATGAATAGAGGAAAGGAAAAGAGAGAGTATCTCAAACAGGCTCCATTCTCAGCAGGGAGCACACACAGGACTTGATCCCATGACCCTGGGATCATGACCTGAGCTGAAATCAATGTCAGACACTCACCCAACTTAACCACCAAGACACCATCTTTAAGCAGATTTTTAACTAATCCTCTTATGTCAAGCTCGGCCCCCAGATTCCCATTTAGAGGTATCTCCTACTTCCAGTTTCCAATGTTTCCTAGAATTCTGCAGTGGAGATATACTTGTTGTTATTATTGTAACAACATTTCCTCTTTCTCTACTCCACTAAATCAATCACCACTCATCTTCAATCTTTCTTCCAAAATTTATGGACACCTCTTGCCTGCTATCTCTCATTCTTTTCGATCCTTAAGAGTTCATGCTATTAGTTCTTCAATGCCATCTGAGTATGATTTTATTTTATTAATGTTTTTTTGAGAGAGAGCATGAGCAGGGAGGGGTAACATGAGAGGGAGAGAGAATCCCAAGCAGGCTTTGCACAGATTCCAAAAACCGTGAGATCATGACCTGAGCTGAAATCAAGAGTCAGACACTTAACTGACTGAGCCACTGGGAGTGCCCCTTGAGTAGGACTTTAAAAAATAAAAATTATGTAAATGAACACCCATATGTTTAACTATCATATTTAAGGAGGTTGTTTTTAGCTGACATGTTACGGGGTCCTTACTGATTTTTGGATAAAACCTCATGTGAATTACAGTATTTGAAATTTATAATAACATTAACAATAAGTACTATTATTTTCATCTATATTTTATAAATAAAACAGATGCAGGGGTGCCTGGGTGCCTCAGTCAGTTAAAAGTCTGACTTCAGCTCAGATCATGATCTCGCAGTTTGTGAGTTCGAGCCCCACATTGGGCTTTGTGCTGACAGTTCAGAGCCTGGAGCTTGCTTCAGATTCTGTGTGTTTCTCTCTCTGCCTCTCCCCTGCTTATGCTGTCTCTCTCTCTCAAAAATAAAAAATAAATATTTAAAAAATAATAATAAAATATAAATAAAACAGATGCTTAATTCAGGTGAAAAAGCTAATATGGAACAAAACTGTGATGGAACTCAAATGTTTTAGACTACCAAAGCCCATTTTTCCTAAGCAATTATGCAATCTTATTAATTTCTACATTTCACTCTAGAGCACGGGTTAGGAAACTGTAGCCCATTCATCAAATCCAGCCTGTCACTTGTTTTTATAAAGTTTTATTGGAATATAACCACACCCATTCTTTGACTACAGCTTATGTCTGCTCTTGAGCACAAAGTTAGAGGTAAATAGTTGAAACAGAGATAATCTGGTCCACAAACCCTAAAATATTTACTCTTTGATCATTTGTAGAAAATTCTGCTAACCCCTGCTCTAGAAAATAACTTTATTACTAAGTTTTGAGGTCGTGGTATACTCAAGTACTTTTAAAGCTTTTATTACTGAGTCAAATCAAAGACATTCTTTTTATTGTTCCTTCAAATTTTTGTTACCCTGCAGATAGCAATCTTTGGTCATGGTTTAAAAAAAAGTCTTTAAACAATCTCCTTTGTGAAGTCTTTCCCATACTCAATCATACTTGCTCCCTTTTCTGTGCTCCTACCTCAATAATTATAATTACAGTACTTATTGCCGCTTGATTCTCATAATAGTTACTAGTTGTGATTCCCCTAGGATCTAACAAGTGCTAGGCCTGAGTAGATATTTACTTAATAAGCATTTACTGAATACTTTCTAAGTGTCAGTGTTCTAGACACTGGAGCTGTAAAAGTAAATATGGCAACTTTTAATTAATATGTATTGTATATAATTAGGTACAAATATAGAAGAGAAACTGAGTGTGAAGTCTGGGCCTACAGTCCCTGCAGCAGCTGCAGCAGATTCACCAGAAGAGCTGGGGTACATCCAGATTTACCGAATCAGAATCTATGGAGGTGAGGCCTAGTAATTTGTTTATAATCAGCACTTCAGATGATGCTTCAGCAGTGAAGTTTGAGAATCACTGCATCAGCAGACAGGAAAGGCTGTTTCTAAATGTGCAAATATTATGAGAAGATATAATCTCTTAATAAAAGCAATTTCTGTCAAAATATGATCTTCTGTTGTTTACTTCTTTTTTCCAAAACATTATTAGACATATTTAACTGGGAACTTGGACATTGCTCCCATCTCTTACTAAACTTTTATACCATTGCAACCCTGTACCTGGCATAGTTCCTGACACATAGTAGGTGTCAATAATTTGTGTTCAACTGTTGGATATCCAACATAAAACCCTTCATGTTGTCCTAGTATGTAGAAATAGGGGCTTTTCCAACTTTAGAGTGGAATGGTATGAGGATCATTTGAGTACAAAGAAGATCAACACATCCAGGCAAAAGTTTGGTCAAACTACACCTTGTTTTCCTCCCTCTAAGAATGCTTCCTTCAGCTCTCAAGGCCACTATCCTTGTAGGGAATATCAACCTCCCTCTCAAGGCTTAGTTAAACCAAGCAGAGCCAAGTGGCCTAGTGGAAAAGGTCAGGCATTATGGATTCTTCTTCATTGTAGATAATCTCTTTCTAGAGGCTTTAATCTGCAGAAAGCCCTGGAGTACATTTTTAAAAGGATTACCTACCTAGAGGATGATAGATACTCAAGTATCTACAATGAGAGGTTTATAACAATAGACTCTTGCTATGCCTGACATAGATCTATCCCTCCCACTAGAACTCTGAATTATTTTGCTGGAGGCTACAACATTCTGAGCAGTTTGTTGGGAGTGGATGGGAGGTGGGGATAACTCACCCATACAAGCTTAGCAGAGGTGAGCTGCAACTTGTTGGGCTAGCCTTTGATGCAGACTGGTTGGACAGGTTCTGGATCTACAGAAGAACCGGTCTGACTGGACTGTTATGCCAACATATTCTGGTTTGATTCCATGTTCCACAGACGGTAGAAACCTGCCCAGCCAGTTAAATGAAAGGCATATTAGGTTATCCATTGCACACTGTATATAGCTTAGATGCAGCAGGACTCTTCCACATAGCAGTGGTGTCTAGCAAACTCTAGCATGGTCCAGAGTGGTGGCTTCCTCTCATCTACAGTTTAAGTTTATAGCTTCAGAAGCAGAAGTGAAATACCTTGTGCTTTTGACCCAGAGCAGAGGTTTTCTAAATAAATTGAAGGGTAAGTTAATATATTTTTTCTATTTCTCAATTTTCTATGCATCTTAATTTAAGGTTAAATTAAGAAATGATGTTTAAACAGGTATCTATTTTTTAACATGGTAATACCTAGATTATACCATTTATGTAAAGTTGGTTAGATATTATTTTATAATACTTATATATATTAATTGATTTGTTTAGATAAAAGGTATTTAGTATATAATACACTATACTTTTGCTATACTTTTTTGTAGGTTGGGCATGGCTATAGTCATGAAGAAAGCTGGATTGAAAAATTTTGCTAAATCTATTTCACCTATTAATGATTCATCTTAAGCCATCTACTTCTTTGATAATATACTATTATGTTTTATAGGCTGTTGCTATATGGTAACAATTTTACATGGTAAATCTAATTGTGGATACAACAATAATTGCCTTTTTAAGGCATAAAAAATTAGTGTTGGCCTGCTTGGTGATCCTAAGTACATTAGAGGAACAATTCACAGGAGGAATTGAGGAGTGTGGAAAACAAAGATTGTGGAATCTGGTAACTGATTAACTATTGGAGCTCAAAAGCACTTGCTGAGCTGAATAGAAAGGAATGAAGACAGGTTTTGTCATGCCTATTGGGTCTGAAAAACTTAAGTTAAAGAATATTTTGATCTTCCTTTATATTATATTATAAAATAATTCTTCTACCTCTCTCTTTTGATGTAATTAATTTATTTTAAGTTGTTTGTGTCATCTAAAATTAAAGTTACCAATCCCTTTATATTTATTTTGGCATACCAAACTACCCCCTTAGTTATTAATATTGGATTGAATTGAATGCACATATCTTCTGGGCATTCAGTTAACATAGCAGCTGATACATGAATTTATCTAGGAATTAAAACTGAATACTTTCCTGTCAAGAGCTGTCTGTAGGTCACTTTAATATAAACTGAGCAAGACTGATGCATCTTTTTTTTTCATTGTTCCTAGGATCCTCACTGTGTCATTATATCAAACTCAAAGACTCTAAGAGTTTCTTTAGGATATTAATAAAGAATTTTAAGGTGAGAAATAATGTTCAGATGAGATATCATTTTTTGCAGGGAAAGTCTTGGATGCTTTTCAGTCCTACTCCAAGGCAATTCTGCATAATACTTCTGCAAGGCAATTTTGCATAATACTTCTGCAAATTCAGCTAAACTTCTAAAAACCTATGCAATGTTGAATCTGCATAAGGAATATGCTGATTCAGCAAACCCAAATTAATTTTATTCATTATAAACTGTATTCTGACAATTTTTTGTGGGGGAGAATATGGATCAAAATTTTTAGTTCGTTGAATGTTTCTCTTTTCAATCAGTTTTCAGGCAAGATATACATACATGTCAATAGAGTTATACTTTTAGTGTTTCTGGTAAGTATATTCTATATAGTGATTTAAAATTCTTAAACTATACTGTGTTTAAAATACAGGGCTTACTGCTTTTTGTTTTGTTTTTTGTGTTTTTAAGTAATCTTTGTACCCAATTTGGGGCTGGAACTCAAGACCCTTGAGATTAAGAGTCACATGCTCTACTGACTGAGCCAGCCAGGTGCCCCCAGGGCTTACTGTTTAAAGATAAGCTTAAGTGGGGATTCCAATTTATTTAGTGAGCATTTTTTATGTTTATGGTTTTGAGAAAAGCTATTCAGAAACTAGATATATATTTCATATAAAATCTATGGGTAAAATTTCAAGCCTAACTACACTTTGGAAAAGGATTCTACAGCTTTCATACAATGGAATTTACAGTTTCAAATATATGAAAGTCCTATGACCTTTATGTATTTCTGTAAATTGATTCCTTTAAAATACTGATACAGTGTGATGTTTTGGTTAAAATTAAGGACATATGGATTCATAAATCAAATTAGGGAACTGTGTATGTGTGTGTGTGTGTATTCTATACAGTCCTACATTATTTCAGGGCCTACATCAAAAAGTGTTCTACTCCTTTAAAAACATCTATTCTTTAAATTTAGTCAGGGATGCATTCCTTTGTCCTTATTTCTAGCTGCTCAGTTTCACACAATGGCTCTTTTTGTCAATACTAGCTATTCTTAACAACTGCAACCTCTTTCCTTCTTGAATATCTTCATATGTTTCTTACCAAAACCACTTAGAATCATGACATTTTTAAGTTTGAAGAACTTTTAAAGAATAACCAATGCATCCAAATCCTCATTTTTCAGTTGAATGAAAAGCCCAAAAATGTAGCTAAATCACTACTACAAAATCTAAAGGTAGAGCTGGGACCAGAACATCCCAGTTTTCTGAATACCAGCCCAGACTAATATTTTTCACTATCTTTCACTGACTCATCTGAATACTACATGAAATCTAATCTGTTTTCTAAAAGAATTATAAGAAGGTAAAATTGTGTTGTATAGTTACACTAATGAGTCTTTGCTGATTCATTTTATAAATGATAAAAATGTTAATTTTCTTAGTACATATGCATATATACATATATATTTTGTGTTGTTTTAAGAACTCTCATATAGATATAATTTAAGATTTATCTAAGAAGTTAGTATGTCTAAAATTTGATTTGAACTGATGGGAAAATTTCAATAAACTTATAAAGATCAGAATTGCAGAATTCAAAACCCATTTAGAGGTGACAGAATCTGCTTTTGTAAAGGGTGAGTTCTTAAGACAGTGTTTTGTATGCAAGTGCTCAAAAACTGTTTTAAATGTTTTTAACTTGAGGAATTCCAAGGAAATGGGGCCAGAGAAAGCTTTAGAACCAAAGGCTCAAAAATTCCAATTCTGATTTCTAGAACTAAATGTTAATTCTCCTAATCCCCTTGTTTTTTCACAGGTAAAATCTTACCTGAGGGATGCTTCTCAACTTTGGTAAATTTAGTTTAGTCCAAGTGAACTCTGAAAAATATTCACTTCCATTTGTTTCTCTTTTTTACAATCAGGAGATAAGGTAGTATACCAAAAAACATGTGGGCTTCTGAGCCAAACTAAGATGGATTTGAATACTGGCTGCTACAAACGCATTTACACTTGGTAATTATTTAACTCTGACTTCCCTTTTCTCCCTCTGTAAGTTAAGGAAGTAATACCATTCTCTCAGTTGTTGGGAGGATTAAATGAGATATGGTACGTAAAATATCTAGCATAGTCCCTAGAATATAGTAGATGCAACAAATGTCAAAACCCTTCCCACCTCTTTAATAAAATATATAATAAATTTCAACAAACAACTTATTGAAGAGAAGTAAAAGCTTAGCTTAGAATATACTTTTTATGTTTGGCAGAGAGATAAAAACTAAATTAGCAACTATGGAAAGTGTCAGGGAGGAAGCCCTTCCTCTGTCCTATGCTCCTTCTATATATATATATATATTTTTTTAATGTTTTATTTATTTCTAGGAGAGAGAGAAAGAGGGAGAGACAGCATGAGCAGGGGAGGGTCAGAGAGAGAGGGAGTCACAGACTGAAACAGGCTCCAGGCTCTGAGCTGGTAGTCAGCACAGAGCCCGACGCGGGGCTCGAACCCACGAACCGCGAGATCGTGACCTAAGCGAAAGTCGGACGCTTAACAGACTAAGCCACCCAGGCGCCCCTGTCCTATGCTCCTTCTAGGTGGACTTAGAATCAAATTGACGTAAGACAGATTAATAGGAGAAAATCAAATTTAATAGGCATTTGGGGAAGCCACACGGACTTGAAGATCCTAGGGAAATGAGGCAACAAGAAGCTTTTAAGAGCAAGGAGATGCTTAAGGTTTGAGAATACAAAGGGGAGGAAGGCCAATAACAAGGTTTAAGGAGATGTTTAGAAAAACAAAGATTGCCTTATTACGCAGATAGGTCCCTTAGGTAAAAGAGAGTCTCGGTTAAGAGATCAAAAGTTGCATGCTCTATGGACTGAGCCAGCCAGACACCCTAAAATTTCAAATTTCAATCATCTATACCAAAGGAAGTAACTGGCAGGGATAGTACAAATTATACCTTACTTGTGCCTCATACAGGTTTTTTCAAAGACATTTCATATGTATTTATATCTATTATTTTATATGACATCAAATTAGTTGGATAAAGATTTCCATATGCTCTAAGGATTGTGTTGTTTCTACTACCAATTAAATTATTTCTTCAGGGCTATAGAATATGTTTGTTCTTCCAAAAGATTCTCTTCCAAATTAAATTTATTAGAAGTCAATATTAAATTATATTTCATCTTCTTGATAGTAAATAATAATACAGAGATTGAGTGCAAAATGTGGTGGGTATAAGACATAAGATGGAATAGGATTTAATATTTTCTAAAAGTAATATTAAATTAACGATAAATCGATTATAAGGTGAAGCCAGTGAGCAAAGTTCACACGTGAGATATTTATGAAATCGATATCATGGGTCAGAAGGGAGTTCAGAATAGTGTGACAAAACATTGTAAGAGCTTGCCTAACTAAAGTTGGGTGGATTGACACATCCAGTGTGTAAATAAAGAGGAGGAAATAGGTTATGACTTGATCTTCAAGCCAACAAATAGACCCACTTATAACACAAATGATCTTAGTAAGCTCTTACAACTAATTTTAATTTCCTGAAAGATGTTTAATTGCTATACAAATAATCTTTAATAAGCTAGCTATACTATAATTTGAATTTATATCCATGGTAAATGAATTTTGTTTTCTCTTAAAGTTAAAAGTTTGTATGTAGATGGTATACCTAACGACAAAAATCTCACTTCATCAATTTAGCCCACTAAGTGTATAATATTCATATTAAAACTATTTTATTAGATTAAAAATTAGCTTTGACTTCTCATTAAATTATTTAATTTGCATATTTATTTTCATATACTTAGAGTGGATATAACTGTAAACAACTAAAAAGAAGGCAAGGAGTAATATAAATTTAAAATATATTTTAGAGGCACCTGGGTGGTTCAGCCAGTTGAGTGATGGACTCTTGATCTCAGGTCAGCTCATGATCTCATGGTTATTGGGACTGAGACCCACATCAGACTGCACTGACAGCATGGAGCCTACTTGGGATTTTCTCTTTCCCTCTCTCTCTCTCTGCCCCTCCCTCGCATGCATGCACACGTTCTCTCTCTCAAAATAAATAAAATTAAATAAATAAATATATATAAATATACATATATGTTTTTATATGTATATTTATATTTCTGTATGGGATCGCCTGGCTGGTTCAGTTGGCAGAGCATGAGACTCTTGATCTTGGGGTCATGAGTTAAAGCCCCACATTGGACATAGAACTTACTTTAAAAAAAAAAAAAAGAATTTGGCGGCGGGGGGCGCCTGGGTAGCTCAGTTGGTTAAGTATCCAACTTCAGCTCAGGTTATGATCTCACAGCTCATAGGTTCAAGCCTCACATCAGGCTCTGTGCTAACAGCTCAGAGCCTGGAGCCTGCTTCAGATTCTGTGTCTCCCTCTCTCTGTGCCCCTATCTTGCTTATACTCTGTCTCTCTCTCTCAAAATAAAAAAATAAAATTCGAAAAATTTCTGTATAAAATAGTTCATTTGGATAAATCAGCACAACAACCAAACTTGCTATGCATCAAAGACTAATTGGGAAACAGAAAATGTTATAACTCATCTTTAAACACATACAGCCTTCTGCACTGAGAGCCTGGAGCCTCCCTTGGATTCTCTCCCTCCACTCCCTCCCCTGCTTATACATATATCCTTGCTCTCTCTCTCTCTCTTAAAATAAATAAACTTAAAACAAAATGACATACAGCCTTAAAAGTAATCAGAAAATTACTGCCTTAGAAGTTCTATATTACTGACAAAGTGAAAATATAACTTGTGTGGCAGATTTTTAGTTTCAAAGTTCTATCTTAAGCCTGTTCCCCTGAAGGTTCTTTGCCTGTTGTTGCTACAATGTTTAGATTAGGATTGAGAAATACTTCCCTCCAACATGAAAACATTTTAAATCTAAAGAATTTCTAAATGCATCTTGAAACATTAAGAAAATTTATGTAATCAGTAATTTTATGTAGCTCACAGTACATTTATGGACATGGAACA